ATAGTAGGCCTACTTTGAATGAAGGCAAACAATAAGCAGACATTTTCATATGCTTTGACTTACACGTCCACACTGACCAGCTCAGCCGTTATTCTATCACAAACTGATTGGTTTATCTAAGACTGCAGAGTGGGGAAAAGATCTACAGTCAGGTATTCTTGGTTATCTTGTCTACCTTTGCCTAATAAAGGGATTATTAGAGTCCAACGTTAGAAACAAGCTCTGAACTTTACACTCAGTGACATTAGCCAGCTCTTTAATGAGGGAGACCTGCTTTTTATGTCTTTCAAAATACAATATACCAGTAATTCCTAAAGAGTTTGCCACAATTATGGATGCTATTTAACCTGGTATATGCATGCTTTTGAAAAATAATACTCTATCATTAGGAACAGTTCCCATTCCTGAACCTGTCAACACACCTATTGGTGAGATATGTTTCACGGTGAAAAGGTAGAAACTATAAAATAAGAGTTCTATTCATTGAGAACATTGTCTCTACCACCTCCTGCAGTTTCACGTTGGAACAGCCTTTTTGATCATTTAAATTGGGAAAATATATGGTCCATGCGGCAAAAGTTTTTCCTTACAAATAAAGTAAAGACATATTTTTTACATTACTCCATAACATGTAGCCTACCCTGTCAAAAATTTTCTGAGGAAAAAATGTGGATCTGTTTTTGGACACAAAATGCTCCTTTTGTCAGAATGACACAGAAACGCTTCTTCATTTGTTTTGGTCATGCAGTTGTACTTCTCAGCTCTGGAAAGATGTTAGTTTGTTTATCTTGAATACTGTCTTACACGATTTTTGAATGAATCCCAAATTTGCTATTTTTGGATTTTTTAAGCGTATCCCAATGCCTGTTTTGTAATAAACCTAATTCTCTTCTTATGTAGATTCTATATTCACAAATGTAAATTTTTGAATTGTAAACCTGTTTTAACAAGAGATAAAAAAAAATTTCACTTAACAAGAAAGCACTCAGAACATACAATTTGCACGGCCTATAAAGCTACTGTATTTAATGTTTAATTACTTTTCCTTTATTATTTGTTATGTTTCTATTTTGAGCTATGGTATTGGTTGTTCTTGTTTTCTTTCTTTCTCTATTGCTATTATTTTGAATTATTGTGTTCTAATTGTATTGTACCATAGTGTAAACTGAATGTTCAAATAAAAAAAAATCCTGATATGCTTCGATCTCCTCCAAAACAACAGATGGCGAAGTGCTCGAACAACATGTGACGCACGGAAGCCGAACAAGACGCAGCGTCGCATTGATTGTTCTGCGCATGCGCGCTGCTTCACGCTCGCTCACTCACTCACAATCAGGCATCATGGCGGACGTACTGGATCTTCATGAAGCGGGAGGAGAAGACTTTCCTATGGACGAGGATGGCGACGGTACAGTGGTTATTTACATTCAGACGGTGCACAGACAATTTATTTATTTGATATGATCTAATTTCACCTGTTTATTACTGTTTAATGTTTGAAATACTCGTGTTTATGTCCGGCGGGCCTAGTCCGATTAGCGCGCGTGCTAATAGTTAGCTAATTCAAACGAGTCGCGCTGTTGTTGTGATTCTGCTTTATTTTGTTGCCGTGCTTTGGTTTTAGTTTTTACGCGTTTTCCAATTGTCTTTTGTATTTTTATCATGGCCAATAGAAGTATTGTATGGTCTTTGAGCATACAGGCTCTGATGTATAAGTTCATTCCTTTTGTGTGTTAGTGCTTCATTGCGGTCTTCTATTTTAGTTTATTTTTATGTTCTCATAACGTTGTCTTTAAAAACGTTCATTCAGTGCTTTCGAATGCATCGTAGGAGTGATTATTTTCCTTTGTTGACTTTACAGAGAGCATTCATAAGTTAAAAGAAAAAGCCAAGAAGAGGAAGGGTCGTGGGTTTGGATCAGGTAAGTCACCTCATCTCCAATCTTGTGTTTTCATGTTTTAATAAATTATGTGCTAATGATGTCTCTGGCTTTATTTGACAGAGGAGGGAGCGAGATCTAGAGCCAGAGAGGACTATGACACAGTAGAACAGGATGGAGATGAGCCTGGACCACAGAGATGTAAGTGTAACTTGCAGAATTACATAAACATCTGACTTCTCTCTCTGTGACCTCATGATAGAAATCAAGTGGCTGCGATTTTTAACATGTTTTGGTGTCATTCAGCTGTTGAAGGGTGGATTCTGTTTGTGACTGGTGTACATGAGGAGGCGACAGAAGAGGATGTCCACGACAAGTTTGCAGAATTTGGAGAGATTAAGAACTTGCATCTAAATTTGGACAGAAGAACTGGTTACCTTAAGGTTAGTTTGCAGATTCTGGTTCTGTAAAATGAAAATGTTTTGGTATGTTGCACATTTGCATAATTTAATTGTAGTTTTTTGAATGACAGCTTAAGTCTGTAGACAAAAACACACACACACACACATATATATATATATATATATATATATATAA